ATTCCTCCGTCACAGAGCCTTACCAGAGCTGAGGGCTATCTAGCCACTGCGAAGAAGGTGGGCGAGGAGGCCTGTGAGCAGTTGTAGCCTGCTGCCCAGCACCCCCAGGCTAAGCCACCATCATTCCAGAGTTCCCTGCACGGGGATGGAGGGGCCCCCACTAGGGGAAAGGTGGGACCCTCCAGGAGTCAGGCTTGGCTTCTGTGTTCCCTTTCCATCCCACCTCCTTTAAAAGTTTGTCTTATTCCTCCCAGATCTCAAGCAAAGAGCAGTATTTGTCGATTTCTGAGCTAACTCACATCTGAGGCTCACCAAAGCAATGCCTGGTTATCCTCAGGATGGAGCACAGTGTCCATTCTCTGCTCATATGATGTGTGCTTGAGTCGTCATTTCCAATACAGTCATTCTTTTTGGTTGCTCTGTTGTTTTGAGCACACTAAGGCTTTTTGGTTGGGTTTTTTTTTTTTTTTGGTGTTTCTTGGGGAAGGGCTAATAAAAACTATCAGGGTAAGGATGACTCTCCCAGCCAGCTGAAATTTTTTTAACTCTTTTATTGACTATAATATGCATACAGAAAAGTGCCTTATTATAAGTAAACAGCACGATGAATTTTCACAAACTGAACACAGCACCCACACCAGCATGGCCTGCATCCTTCCTCATACCTCCTTCCAGTCACCTCCAGCCCCCAAGGGCACCCACTATCCTGACTTCTAACAACATAGATTTGCTTTAGCAGGCTGGAGTTTATCCTCAGCTCACATGACAACCTGACTTGTAGCTGCCCTCCAGCTCAGAGATGGTGAAACTCCCGGGGCTCAAAAGGATTGATATGGGACTGATTTCCAGTGGGGAGGGACCACTCAGGAATTCTAAATCCAACACATATCCAGCTGCTGTTTCAGCCACCCAGGAGGAGTGCACAGGGGGTGGGCGGGTCCCATCTTGGCTGTTAGATGGTCCTCCTGTCCCCGGGGGCAAGGGTGGCATCTGGGAGGTCAGTCTGGTGACTCAGTGTGGAGGGAGATGGGGGTAGAATTCTCTTTCCATGTGCTTCTAGAAGTCTTGCCACGTGTTGCAGGCAGCGGGAGGTCCCTGGATCAGGATGACTCAGCAGCATCTATGTGCAAAGCAGCTGAGGTCTGCACCCTGGGAAAACCACATGGCGCTTGGTTGAACTTGCCCCATTCAGTGCAGCCCACACTGGTTGGAAACCATTTTCCCCCAGCACCAATGCCAGGTCCTCTGTTTACCTGTGCGACTAAGCCCAGGTGCCAGCTGCCAGCCTGGACCTGTTTGTCTCCTCAGCTGTCTTCCATCTGTCTTCCTTCACTGACCCCCACTGAGGGTTGACTCCATATCACGTGTGCTCATTTCACTAATGAAAAGCCAGGTTAGCCTCTGCGCTCACATCCTCCCCATCCACCACCCCCATGCATGGCATGATCATTAGGCTGTGACCTCTGCTTCTTCAGCAAAGAGCTGCTCTAATTGTGCAGGACAGTGGGACAGAGGGCTGGCCAGAGCTGGTGGTCAGGAAGAAATGCTTCTGGACCAGTCGCTATGGCTGGACAGAGAAGCCCTCCCATGGGGAAGACCATGTCAGGAAGATTTTCCTCCCACAACTTCTGGACACAGTGTTTTCTGTTGTCTGTAACCATCCCACTCCGCCCTGGGGGGCTGTCACACAGAGACCCCACTATACCTGGGAAGCCAGCAGAAGAGGTGGGGCAAGTGGCCTCTGACTCAGACTAGAAAGGTCTTGGGACTCATTTGGGTGGCAGTTTTCTGACAAAGTATGCATGAGAATCACTTGGGAAGTACATGAAATAGGCAAATTTTCAGGTTCCCTCTCTCCTTCAGGTCCAGGCTAAGGCCCAGAAATCTGCATATTTGTAAAGCATTCCAGATGGTTCTGTTGTAGGTAACCCCAAGCTATAGTTTGAGGGACACTAATCTAGACAACGCCTTCCCCAGGTTCCAGATGGGGAGAAAGCGAAACCCAGAGGGCCCCAATGGCTTACTCCATCATATGGGATAAGGCCCAGAACCTGAGTCCTGCCGTCTTTCCATGCCTGTACCGCTCTTGTCACTTCCCGTACACTGAGCCTGCCCAAGGAGCCCTGAGGCCCTGCCTCTGTCTAGTCTTCCTTTGTCCAGGCTTGTCCCCTGCCCTTCCTTTCCTCTTACTGCCATCACTATAAACTGGATGTTCAGACACAATGGGATGTCTACAAATGCCAAACACTCTGCAAAGGCATCGCTCCAATCCTTCCCCTCCACCCCCACCACCTCGTTACTCTCCCTAAAACACAGATTACTCCCTGCCCCTCCATCTACCGGACAAAGTGGAAAGGGCCTGGCTGAGCCTTCCGTCCCTCCCCTGTTTGACCCAACCTATCTTCTTGAACTCAGAATCTATCATTCCCCTATAACCCCTTCTCTACATGAATTCCTTCCAATACTATCTTGTTCTTTCTTGCCTCCACTCATGTGATGCCTTCATCACCTTGGCCAACAGCACTTCTTCCCTGCCATGCTCAGTCTCCCCATCCTCCAAGGTCCAGGTGAAAGTCCTCCTCCTCCAGGAAGCCTTCTTTGACCATCCAGCCCTAGCACGCTTGTCTTCCTCTGACCCATCAGAGCACTGAACCATTTACTATCTGTTATTATTACCTATTCTGTTATGAATTGTGAGCTTTAAGTAATTCCCAGCTATATACCACAGCCTACTTTTGTAATTACCCACCCACTTAGCAATGTGCCTTGCACATAAGTACAAAAGGATGTCAGTAATGACAGAGCCACACAATGCTAGAGCCAAGGAGACCTTGGCCTGTAGGTAGCTGGTTGATTAGTTTAGTGACTTTTCTATGCCTCTTAGGTTAACAAACATCCAAAGGCTAACTTTTGCAAATCTGAGCCAGGTCTTTCTCTGGATTCTGCTTCCACTGTTGTAATAAATTTCCCCGGTTGTCACCACCCTTGCTATGCCAGTGAGGCCAGTTCCACCCTCCTGCTCACCATAACAGTCTATCTTGCACATCCTTTGCGACTCTATCCCTGACAAGGCATTACAGTATCCATGGGGGATACATTCCAAGACCCGAGTAGATGCCTGAAACTGCAGATAGTACCAAACCCTATACATAGGATGTTTTTTCCTATACGTACATACCTGTGAGAAAGTTTAATTTATAAATGAGGCACAGTAAGACATTAACAACAAAGATAAAATAGAACAATTAAAATGTACTCTATTGAAAGTTATGTGAATGGTCTCCCCTCCCTCTTCTCTGATAACCAAGGCAGCTACAAAGTGACTAACAGGCGGGTAGCTTATGCAATGTGGATGTGCTGGACAAAGGGATGATTCACGTTCTGGGCAGGACAGAGTGGGATGGCTCTAGATTTCATCACGCTCCTCAGAATGGTGCACAATTTAAAACCAATGAATTCTTTATTCCTGAACTCTCCATTTCATATCCTCAAACCGTGGTTGACCTTGGGTGATGGAAAGCGAAACCGAAGATATGGAGGGACTACCGTATTAACATTCCCGCACTTGCCAGTGGGCCCAAGTGGGTGCTTGGCTTCCCCTTCTCACTTCAGCCGATGACCAAATTTCTGGTTCATTGCAACACACCAGCTAAGCCAATTTCAAGCTGCTTGCTGCAGGCCTGCCAGAAGTGGCTAATGTTCTTGACCCAATCGCACAGAAACCCTGTCGCACACGTGACGTACCTCTCTCCGCATTTAAGACAAGCATCCCTCTTTTGTTAAGAACCGACCGTCACTACTTTGCCCATTGCTTGCTTACAAACAGGGCAACAAGAAGTTAATTCTAGAAGCACTGACAGCTTAAGTTCTGGAGCCTGAGCCAAACTTTCAGAAAGGAGCCCTTTATTCTTTGTTTATCGTAGGATAAATGTCCTATGGAAAAGAAAGTCTCTCTCCTGCCCAGGGGCCATTACTGTATGGAAGTACCCTAGGCATCTTCACCTGGGAGGTTTGATAGAAATCCTTGCAGGAATCTAGAAACCTTAACACTATGATAAGAGTTCAAGTGCGCAGAGCAGGTGCATCTGCCTGGGGAAAGTGCTGCATGCAACCTGTGTGTAGAGAGTCTTTAGAGAGGCCTCTGTGCCTTGGTTTGACAATGCCAGACTGCTCTTTTCAACCCTCCAAAACAATCTCCACAGATCATGACATTTCTGGCTTTCTCATTAAACACAGCTATCTCCTCAAAAAAAAAAAAGAAAAGAAATTTAAGATCTCTACTTACCAAAATAGGTCCACTCGGATCCTGCAAAGAACAGAACAAAGCAAGTAAGTACAACTGAGCTTGAACAAGTTAGAGAAAATACTGCCAATTTCATTTTCACTTCCACAATGTGAAGTTTCACAGGTGACAGGGGCGTTCATCCTCACTGCTCCCCTGGAGGGACCACTCTGGTGATCCTGAGGCCAACAGCAAGGCAGCTGCTGCCTTGAGCAGTCGGGCTTGGCTAGAGGCTTTCATTACACCTTCCCCCAATCAAGTCACAGCCCCAATAGCCTACATCTTCTGCTCTGCTCCCCAAAGCTTGCTAAGCTGAGGTTTCTCCTATTATTGCAATACTCATCCTCTGGAAAGCTCAAGGACCAAGGTTATAGAGTGGACATCTAGGGCTGTAGAGACTTAGGTGGTGACATGTGACCAGAGACGTTCTTGGAAAGCAGCAACATCCAGAGCAAACTTTCCTGCCCTCCCCTCTCTTCCTTCCCCTTTCCTCCTTCCCCTTCCGCCTGCCTCCCTTTCTCTCCTTTGCCCCACTCTCTCCTCCCCATTCTCCAAGTTAGGGTGGGAGGAGCTTGCAGTAAAAAACCCCACTTTTGCCCCACACTGAGTAGCCAGCCTGCCTACCCCTAGATTCTACCTGCTTGGTCCTCAAGGTTTGGTGCTTTGGGTATAAATAGCAGTGTCTGCAGGGGCTCAGGAGCTGGATGGAGGCTGGGGGGAAAAAAGCAATGTAAAATGAAGGGGAGGGTGGTCGGAGTCAGGAAGTTCATTAGTGAAGGTCAGGGCCCAGCCTGATTCATCGTCAGCTCAAAACTGGCCTCAGGGAGGCTTTGTAAAGGAAGCATGCATGTGGGTGCTCCCCAAGTCTATCTTTAGGGGCAGGAGTCTTCACAGGACTAAACTGACCCCACGAGGCATGCCAGGCCAAGACCCCGGCAGCTATACCTTGGCGGCTTTCTGAGGGAGTAGACCCTTCAGGAGGGGAACTGTTCCCTTCCCAAGAGGGTCAGAGACTTGGGAGGCCCAGCTGGATGCCTGTTAGAACCTGCAGGCCCAGTCAGTGTGTACTGGGCAGGGACAATGCGCAGGGTGTTTGCTGAGGAAGTGATATGTACAGAGATCAGGTCAGGGGTTCAGGGCCCTGCCTGCTTCCTGTCCTGGGCCGCCCAGCTCCCCACACCAGGTTCAGGCAGACCAGGCTCTGCAGAATTCATTGACATGCTCCCCAACAGGAACTATGGAATATAAGGTTTTCTCCAGAAAACACTTGACTTCACCTTATTTTGCTCCCTTCCTCCCTGACCCCAGACGTTTTTTTTTTCCTGACATTCACCAATGCAACTGCTGGAAATTTGAGGGCTCCAGGCAGGGGGCAGACCATACTTTGACCCCATCATTCAGTTTAACCCCTCTCCACCCCCTACCTCTGGTTAATACTGACACTCTACACCTCAGTGACTTTTCTTTTGACCTTGTCCCCAAGGCAGTTTAAAAGCCAAGAGTCTCATGAGAAATAACAAAATAAAACCTGTGTTTTTAGAATCTAGGGGTAAGCAGGCTGGCTACTCAGTATGGGGCGAAAGTAGATTTCTTTGTTTTTACTGCAAGCTCCTCCCACCCTAACTTGGAGAAGAGGGAGGAGAGAGTGGGGCAAAGGAGAGAATGAGAGGGAGGAGGAAGGGGAAGGTGGGAAGGGGAAGGAGGGAAGGGGAAGGAAGAGAGGGAAGAGAGGGCGTGAAGGGCATGAAGGGCAAGGGAGTGGAGGGCGGGGAGTAACAGGCTTTCAGGAAAGAGAGACAATGAATGGATCTTTCTCTCTGTTGTCTTGGGGCAGCTTGCATCTAAAAGGGAGATTTCTAGTGAAACTTCAGGTCTCAGCTTTCTCTAGAGGGGGATACATGTCAAAGTTTGCAGTTTTAAAAATGAATTCCCACTTTTGTGTAACTCCTTTCTCCCACCTACCTTCTATTTCTTCCTGAGGGACCTAATATCAAACATATGCCAGCCAGTGGATTGGAGTTGAATCCCGCCAGCCCAGCTCCCCTGCTTCCCTCTGCCCTGCCCCACTGGCACAATGCCCTCCAGGAGTGAAGGGGGCTCTGAGCTTTCACACTGCTGAGCAGGACCAGTTTCCCACCACCACTGCCTGGCCAGGGAGTATAGATGTTCAGCTATTATGGTCCCTTTGGATCCTTCTATAAATGTCTCAGCCTAACCTGGGTCCAGGAATTATAGCACCTACAAATGTCTCTACAACTTGGTGCAAACTCTGTCAAGGGCAGGAGCCACCCTTATTTCCCCAGGAAGTTTCCACGAAAGTCACCATTGACGCTCCCAGGAAGCACTCACCCAGCTATTGAAGAGGCAGGCAAACGCTGGGCATCCCCCTCTTGTTACAAAGGGTTGACTAACCTGACCTTGGCTTCTCACTGCAACTCACTGCATAGACCTGAGTCTACAGTTCAGGTTCCCCCCACTGTCCCCCATACACACAGAGAGACACTCACTTCGTGCCACCTCACTCTGCACCCTCAGCCTCCAGCCCTTCGGGGTTAAGGCCCTAATTACACTCAGAAATAAGGTGTATTTGCTCATCTGAGCGCATACACACATACGTTCAGGATAGTAGAGACCTTCTGAATAAAAACAATGATTAAGGATGGGATGCATCATTCCTTGGACTTGCAGGTAAAACTTAATGGTAACGAGCATCTCCTCCAAAGAAAAGCACCCACCCCTGCCAGAGGGTTTTGCCCTGGGGCGACCACAAACCTTTCCTGGTAGTGACACGGCTCAGAAAGCCACAGTTACTTCTTTACTATCTGCAAGTGGATCCTGGCACAATGTTTTAAATCCTGGTTCCGCTTTTCCTCCCTAGTTAGCAAGCTCCCAGGCAACCTCTCCAGAGCTGCGGGTGCTCAGAGAATAGCAAACATTGTAATACACAGCGCGCTTCCCCCCAGCACAGCAGGTCATGCATTCCAAAGGGAAACGGAGCATCCCTTATGAAGACGTGCAGTTTGATACCATGCATGTCCTTCCCTGCTCCTCCCCACACACATCCACACAAATGATTTGACTTATCATTAAAAACCCCACAGAAAATCCTTCCATCCAGGTGTGGCTGAGCGCTCAGGACTGTTAGGAAAGAGGCAGAAACTTTACCGTTGAGTGGGGCTAGGCTGGAAGGCTGTTCCTTTAAGATCACGAGCAGAAGGACGGCCGCTGCACGCAGGCTGCGGTGGGGCATCTTCGGGTGGCTCGCGCGGGCTGCCCCGGGCTCCTGTTCCTTGATCTGGGTGCTGCGCTGGGGCCGGCAGGGCGCGCACCGGGACCGCGTGTGTGCAGCCCGGGCACCGTGCGAGCACTCCTGTTCTTTGGGCTCATGGCTCCAGGAGCTGTTTTTATGGAGCGACTCAGCCCCAAACACATGATGTCATCGTGGGGGTTGGGGGGAGGACACCCTGCCAACAGGAGGTCTGGCGCCCCAGTTCCGAGGTAAGCTGTCGCCCTGACTTCAGCCGTGCTCTGTGGGGCAGTGCCCCAGAAACGGGGCTGACCTGGAAAGCCAGTTTTCCCTGGGAGCAGCCGGTGGGTGTGGGTGAGATCCGCCTGCCTTGGCCCCATAGAGAAGGGTGCGTGTGTCCAGGGACTGGCTTCAGTGGCCACGGCCTTGGTCTGTCACTGCCCATTCTGAGAAGCCCCTTAAATAAAATGCCATATGGACAAGAGCCTCCTTCAGGGCCCAAGTCATGAGCCTGCCAGGACTGGGCACTCCTTAGGGACTGAACAAGATAGCAAAGAGGCTGCATTCAAATTCGGAATTTCTGTGAAGTGTACAGTGCATCCTGATAAAGTGTTAACTTTGAAATTTAGACGCAAAGAAATTAATTAAGAATAGGTAAATAGCACTGTGGGGTACAAGTGAACAGCTCTACTAAGCAATTAGACTTTCCCCTAGTAACAGGTAAGTAGACAGGTAAGTCTCAAACTAGTTCATAATATCCATCCATTCTCTAGGAAAAGGGGGCGGGGGCGGCGGAATCCCCTTCTCTGGGTAGCAGTGGAAGAAAGGGACTTAACATTATTTACTGAGCACGTGCTATGTGTCAAGCACGGTACTAGGTATTTCACATCTTGGTCTAGATCTGTGTCTGAGTTGTTTCCAGTGTGTACTAGTATCACCTGTTGTTCATTTCTGCCCACTTTTCTCACCTATCTGTATTCATTTAAATATGTGTATACATGTGCCTCATCATTTTGCATGCTTTTGTGATCCCCTTTGTATGTAGTCCATGTTCAGTTGTTAAATCAAAGTTCTAGTTAACCTGCTCTCCCCCATAGCCCTTATATCTTCCTATTGCCGTTACGACCACTTGCTGTTCCCACCACCCTTGTCATTGGTGTTTCTGGCTTCCCTGGGCCCTCTGAGTGTCTCTGCCCTGCTCCTGGCGCTGGACTCAGTTTCCTTCCTGCTCTTTGACCCAGCCTGCTCTCTTGGCTATCTGCTGCCTACAGACATTGCACAGACCACATGGTCTGCTGAAGGGTGCTCACCCCAAGTCCTGGTACATGACCCCTGGTTTTGAGACCTGACCCATCTTGCCCTCTTCTCTTGGCCACAGCGGCCTGACCAGACCTTACCTCTCTCAGGTCTGTGGCTGACCCTCAGCCAAACTGGACTCTCAGTCTGGTCTCAGTGACCAATGAAGCCACTTGTCATTGGTGGTTTTAGAGGAATAGAGCCGCTTCTCTGCTAGGGGCCACCAGGAAGCACATGCCACCCACATTTCAAAGAGTGTGACTGTTGTCCTTATTAGCTGAGCTATTGTTTGGGTTCGTAAAGGGCTTTTGAGGTCTTGTTAAGGAAGTAGTTACAAAGACAATCTTGTTACAAGCACTTCCAGACCACAGCAGGCTTAAGGATGACTTTTTCTTCCTGCAACTCCTAATAAAGACCCTTGAATGAGCTCCCAAATGGTGAGTGAACATTTCACTTGTGGTTAAGACATTCATGTCTCTGATTCATTATCAAGGGCTTTGGAAGATGAAACGTACTAGAGGAACATAAGAGGTTGGGAGGAGCCACTGCTGCTCAGAGATACACATAGTAGACCCATGGAGGTAAAAAAATCACTTGCCCCACATCTCAAGATTAGTTAAAGGTCAACCAGGCCATGCACACGCGTTTCATTACTCCCCTTATGTCTGGCTAAACATTAATTAATTTTCTCCTCAAAAATGCACTTCTAAGTGTTCTTCAGGGATCCCCAGAGATGGAGAGGTTTTTAAAAAATGGGGTGGGATTAATAGAACAGTAAGGGAAGATGGTGAACTATGGTGAACTGGGTTTGATGTAAAGAAAGGAGAGGGTTGTGATGTTTACTGCATGTCTAGATCAGTGACCTGGTTTAACGAGGAAGAATGGATAGCAATTAATAGAGAACTGAGAATATAAACTGAGACCCATTGCCCTAAGTGCTTTAGGTAAGGTGTTTTTGTTTTTAAATCTTAAGGGATCAGAGGGGAAAACAGCAAATGGAAATGGATGCAATGAATGAAACTACACTACTATCTTACACCACACACAAAAATTAACTCAAAATGGATTAAAGACTTGAATGTCAGACCTGAATCCATAAAACACCCATAAGAAAACATAAGTGATAAGCTCCTTGACATCAGACTTGGTGATGATTTTTTATTTGACTCCAAAAACCAAGGCAATAAAAGCAAAAATAAACAAATGAGACCACATGAAACTAAAAGGCTTCTGCACAGCAAAAGGAACCATCAACAAAATGAAAAGGCAACTATGAATGGGAGAAAATATTTGCAAATCATACATCTGATAAGGGGCTAACATCCAAAATATATAAAGAACTCATATAACTCAATAGCAAGAAAAATAATACAATTGAAAAATGGACAGAGGATTCAAATAGACATTTTTCCAAAGAAGACATAGAGATGGCCAATGGGCACATGAAAAGATGCTCCACATCACTAATCATCAGGCAAATGCAAATCAAAACCACAATGAGTGACCACCTCACACCTGTTAGAACAGCTATGGTCAAAAAGACAAGAAATAACAAGTCCTAGTGAGCGGACCCTCACTGGAGAAAAAGAGGCCCTTGTGCACCATTGGCAGCAAAGTAAATTGGTGCAGCCACTATGGAAAACAGTGTGGAAGTTTCCCAAAATATTAAAAATAGAA